TCCCTGGGTATGGTCCTGCCATGTGCCACATCACAGGTGACACGCATGGTGTGACTCACCTCATCTATCTGCCCCCTGCTGTAGGTAGCACCGCCACAAATACACAAACACAATCCAAGGTCTGAGGTCATCACCCCCAAGGCACTCTTCCCCCAAAGGCAAGAAGGAAAGAGGAGTCACTGACTTGTCCCGGCAGCTGCGTGGGCACTTCCGGGGGCAGGCAGCTGGGCAGGGCAGCAGAAGTGGAAGCCACATGCTCCTCAAAGCTGTTGATGTGAGGCTTTTTGGTGGGCTCAGGGCTGGCTAGTGGGGTGACACTATTGCGTCTCATGAGCGGGTTAGGTCCCTTCTTTGCATCCTAAGCAAGACAAAGACAAAGAGAGAAGGAGACAGTTATAAGGAGGGGGAGGAGAGATAGAAAAGGCACAAGGTCCCCCTGCGCCTGGACTTCAGGGCTACAGCCTAACAGGCTGCTGTTTGTGCCATGATTGGTGCCAGTTGGTGACAGGTGTCCTCTCCCGTGCTCCTTCCATGGGCCATCCCAAAAGACATCCACATAGATAAATGTGACATGTCCACAGCAGGGAGGGAAATAATTAGATCCAGAGCAGAGAATGCCAGAGAAAGAACCTTGCTTCCAGCCCCCAGGAGACCCAGAAAGGGAGCCTGGAAGGCAGACTTAGGTCTGAGGATCACAGGAGGGAAGCAAAAGGCGTCAGCACAAACTCCCTGCTGTTAGAGTTCTTCCAGGATCTGCAGCATGCAGGCAACCCAGGAAAGTCCCTGCTCACACACCAGACTCGGGCTTATGCAAAGCACACAGAGGTATCTAACCAACACAGGAGACCACAGATGCAAAAAAAGAGCTGGAGGCAAAAACCCCAGGTCCCCTGGGAGACATCCCAGGAGCCTCCGACTTGAGAGCAGTTATAGTCCTGCCCCACTGCAACAAAGTGGTGGGAGAGCACTGGAGCTGACTATAGCCTGACACCCCACTGCAGTGGCAGGCAGGAGCCAAACTGGCTCGAATGAGCACAGCTCCCAGGCACCCCTGTTCAAGAGAGGAGGGGCCGTGGGGCAGGCCAAGGCAGCCAAGGGATGCCATTAGCTTTCATTTCGGGCCACAGGAGAAGCTGAGCAGTAAAGTGCTGACATCTCATGCGCTATAAATGCCAAGATCTGATGGCCAACTCTTGGGGAGTAAGGAAGTCACCTGCTTGGGGACTCCAGGGACAGAAAGTCATGCTCTGTGAAGGAGGGATGCTGGACTATACTGTGGCACTATGACAGCCTACATAAAGCAAATGCAAATTCACTCCCACAGCACATACCTGGACATAGATCCAACCAGCTCAGTAAAATTCTTTATACCCACCCCTCAATCTCAGACCTCCCCAAGGTGGAAGACAGCAACAAGCAGGGACGGGGTGCCCTCAAAGCCTTCCTGCTGGTTGGCCCTCGCCTCCCAGCCTCCTGCCCCACTTCCTTGCCTCACACTGCTCAATCCTTCCTTATTCTGAAGCTGAGCATGTGCCAACTGGCTGATCCTATTTGAACCAGGGTGCTGGAGCTTCAAAGCATAGGTCAGCTGCCCGAAAAGACAACAGTAACTGTGCTCAGGTTCTGCTTAGAAGGGAAGAATATCTCTCCTTCAGCACTCACTTCTCAGCTCCAGTGGAAACGTGAGAGGGAGGGGCATAAAAGGAAAAGAACAGATACCCAGAAGCCATGGGGAGGAGTACTGAGGTGTTAACTGCACCCAGAGTGCACACCAGCAACTCAGGTGAGAACCCAGCTATGGGCACCCAGTCACAGGCCTTCCCAAAGTCCCTTTGAATCCTCGGGTGACAGGCCAGGAGGTGGGCCTGGGGAGGCAGCACTCACCTCCGACCTCTCCCGGTGTGTGCTCACGGACTCCACGTTCAGGTAGATGGACTCCACACGGCAACCTGCGAGACACGGGGTGGGGGAGGGCACCTGGTAAGGGACGGCCTTGTCTGCAGCCCTGTGGCCCCTGGCAAACAGCCCTCAGGCAGGCAGAGGCTGCTACTCACCGTAAGCGACAGGTGTCAGTTTCAGAACGGTATGAAGGGGACATCTCAGGTAAGGCATTTCCTCTGAAAACAGAGAGTGGTCCCAACAATTGCCTATGAGACTGTCTAGGAAGTGTGCTGTGCACAGACCCCAGACACTCTGTCTACATGCAGGGGCACCCTCCCCCAGCTCAGGGGAGAAGGCTCTAGAAAAAAATACCGTGCCTAAACAACACAATCCAAATGAACCAAAGGACCCACTGTCAAAGTGATAGTTATGTTTTATTGTTTATTGCTGTACTTCATTTAAATTATGTATTCAGTACAGGGTCTACAGGGTCTCACTACATAGATTGGACTCCTGGTGATCCTCCTGTTTTTCAGCCTCCCAAGCACTGGGATTACAGGTACACGCCACCACAGCCAGTCTCAATCACTGTCTCAGTGCACCCCAGGGGCAAGGCCGGCACAGCAGGCTCAGATCCAAACCCTAGGCCCCTGCTTCTACCTAAGCAGGTAGGTGCTTTAATCCACCGAGCTATGTGGCCGGCCCTTGTTTTATTATTTTTTGAAACAGGATCTTGCTATGTATCGCATGCGGGCTGGCCTCTAACTCCCAGCAATCATCCTGCCCCAGCCTCCCAAGTGCCACCATGCCCAGTTAAGTTTCTTTAAAAAGTGAAGGAGGATTCCAACTTTTGGCTTTCTAAAATTTGTTTAATAATTTCCCAAACAATTTTAGGTCTGTCTAGTGATTCGGCTGAAACTTTGATAGACATAAGATTTAGTGTTAACAGCACCATTCACGTTTCTGAGCTATCTGATCTTGGAGGTAGGTTGATGCCGAAAGTTAACCCATACAACTATCCCAAAGATCCTTTAATGTGTGAAGGCCAAGGCTTTACGAGCTGCTTTATCAGTAGGTAAGGCCTCTGGGCATCATATTTGCTCAACGTCATTTCCTCGGGGCTGCCAAGGAGGCACCGGCTGGATAGGACCACGCAGCAGGCTGTGAGCTAGGCCCATGGCCAACCTTCCTAGCATCTGTCCTCATAGCAGGGTAAGCAACAATGGGTCTTTGGCCACACACTCTCAAGGACCAACACCATTCCTCCTTCTCCTGAGGGCCCACCTGCCCGGCAGTACCTGCACTCTTATCCAGGAAATAAGCCAGCAGGCAGCGCAGGACAGCCTGGTGGCAGATGACCAGTACGTTCTCCTGCCGCTCCAGCTCCATGATCACAGGCTCCAGGCGCTGGACCAGGTCCTGGTAGGACTGAACACATTGAGGCAGGACATGGCATTAGAGCGAGGGCATTCAGGAAGTGCCCTGCCACAGTCCCTAGTCTTCCTTCATCAGGTCAACCTGTCTGCCAATCCATCCATCCCCACCCCCAAGTGCTCAATTGCATTAGTGAAATAATCTCAAGTGATCGTAGCCCAGCACCTTGCCTTTCTCCAGGGCTGGAGAGGCAGGTGCTCCAGTGGAATGTGATTAGCCATAAAAAGCAGTTAGACCCTGACACCCCCCAGCATGGAAGCCCCCAAAACTCCACACAAACATCCACATATTTTGCCTGATTCTACTTCAGTGACATCTAGACTGGGCACTTCCACAGAAAACACAGATTTCTGGCATCCAGGAGAGGGCATGGGGTTTGGACTGTCTGCTAACAAGTCTGAGGCTTCTTTGGGAATGAAGAAAAATGTCCTGGAGTTAGTAGTCATGTTGACATGGCACTGTAAAACCAGCTGGCCCTCCTCTCTGTGGGCTCCACATCCACTAAAGACTGAAGTACTAAGGGAAAAGGATCGCACCTGTACTGAACAGGTGCAGGGCTTGTTTTTCTGCTCATTATTCCCTAAACAATAAAATGTAAACTATTTACATAGCATTTACCATGCAGCAGGTTTATAAGTAAGGCAGAGATTAAGTAAATAGGGGGATGTGTATAGGGTACATGCAGATGCTTACATAAAGGACTTTAGCGTCCACAGCTCTTAGTATCTGCAAGGATCCCACCACCAATCCTCTAAGGATACAAAGAGGTGACCATATTCTAAAAACCAGAGTCGGAACACTTCAGTAGTTAAAAATGAATCTTGTGTCACTTAAAAAATGTAAAAAGGGGTGAGGTTGTGATCTTAAACAGCAAAGCTCCTACCCCCTGGGGCCATCTTCCACCCTCCTTCCTTCTCCTGAACAGGGCCCCATGAGTGAAGGCCAGCCTGGGACAAGAGCACAAGGAGCTGGCCCACCAGGGCCTGAGGCTGGCAAACACTCAAACGGGCACAAGCAGGAAGGGTGCCCAGTAGGTGTCAACATACCACCTGACTGTGCTCCCAGAGGACCATGGGGCTCTACATTCTCTGCTTGCACCAAGGCAGCTGCTTGCAGGGCCACAGTGGGCACCAGGGCAAATGCCCTTTGCATGGTCAGCTCAGCCCCTATTACAAGTGATATAAGAGAACTTCCTTGAAGCTAGAAAGTCTACCACCTGGTCTGCAGCCCTGGGAAAATCCTGTCTGGAATAAAACATTGCCCATCATCTTCCTCTTTCTCCTGAGATTACAGAGTCAGACACATATATAAACCTCTCAAGTTTGCTTATAGGGAAATACAACTACTTTTCTCTTAAGGTTGTTTACAAGGCTACATTTTAAAAAACTCAAGTCCACAAGGTATTAAGGCATCTGTAGAATGGGTCAAGAGGGGTGTGTGGACAGTTGCTGGCCAGTAATGGGGTATGCCTGGCCCCAAGCCTTTCCTTCACCAGCCCCACAGGCAGCACACACTACCTACTCCTGGCCATGATCTGCCAAATGAACAAAGGTGCAGCCTGCAACAGAAAGACACAGCAGGACGGAAGCAGCTGTGCGCTTACCTCCCCAGTCGGGTAGCGGTAGTAGTACTTGTCCTGCTCACGCAGCACATATTCCTCAGGGTATGTGTCTCTGATCTCCTCGTAGGTCAGCTCCTCACAGACGCCCTGGTTTTTAAACAGTGACATTTACTCTAGGGAATATGCCTAGAGGGTCCGAAGGAGAGCCCAAGATGCTACCCAGGATGCCCAAGAGTGATCGTGGTAGATTTTTGGAAAGGCTCCCCACTGCCAGCACGACCTCTAGCCATGCCATCCAGAACTCACGGCATCGATCTCATTGAGCGCCTTCCACTGCTCGTAGGGGAGCTTCAGTGCTTCCGCTGTCTGGATGGTGCTCTTCAGCTGGCTGGTCCATACCCGGAGGTCCTTTAGGTTCTGCTCCTCCACAAACTTACTGAGCGCATTGGCAAACTGAGAATGGGGGGAAGGGATGCTGATACCAGGCCCCCAGTCCTCTAAGAGACAGGGCAGGGTGCTTATTCCCCATGTCAGGCTGGTCTCTGTTATGGCCCAACAGCCACCAGACACAGCTGCCCACCATAATGCACCCTGCAGAGCCCAGGAGACTTAACTCTGCTCCCCTTCCTTCCCCACACTCACTACCATACACACACACACACACACACACACACACACACACACACAACTAGTACAAAGATACATATAAGCCCTAGCAGAAACTGCACACTCCACCCACCCCTAGGACCCCACAACTCCCCCACAGGTGGGAGCTGGTCACCCTCTTGGCACCTGCCAGCCCCAGGCCCTTTTCCTCCTCCACTCCTACCTTCTTGCCCCTGCAGGACAGGCCTGAGTCACCCCCAATCTTGCCCTGCAGGTTGTATTCATTCTCGCCGTGCCGACACAGGTAGATGGTGCGCGGCTGTACATGAATGTTCATCAGATAGTACACGATTCGACTCTGGATGTGATCCTGGACTCTGTTCACCAGGAACCTCCGGCCCACATCGATCACTTTGATCAGTGACAAGTCCCTGCAGAGAAATGTGACTGAGGACCACCAGTCGGGCCGTATCCACAGCCCAGCAGCACACCAGCCTGGGCTTGGCCTGTTCCAGAACACTTGCTGTCTAAGAGAACCTCAAGGTGAGACAGTATGCTTCTCAGTGGCACAGAATGAGCCTTTTTCTCGGGGAACAGAGAGCAAAACATCAAGGCAATGATTCCCACAGCGGGGGACAGCAGGCCTCCCAGAAGAGAGGGAGAGGAAAAGAGGAAAAGATGTGGGAACTCTCAGAGGTGACAAGACTCTGAACACTGATACCCCACTTACACAGAATGTCAGAGGTATTGATATTGAATATGGGTTCATAACTGATAAATTTTTTTAAATGACATTTTTAAACAAATCCTTCATGAGAATATCAAGAAAACATTAAAAGCCCTAATGTGAATAATTCAGAAATGATGGTAAAATTACCTACCTGTCACTTTTATCAGGGTCGAGGGGCTGGTAGCTGGCTTCATAGCAATTGATCCTCTTCATGAAGTCGTCCATGGCTTCTGCCGAGTTGCAATCTTTGTAATCCGGGCTGGAGATTTTCACTTCCTGCAACATCACAAAGAGGCAGCTGATGAATCACGCTGGAAGGCTTTCTGCTTAGATTAAGCAGGATTTGGGGCTTTCAAAGGGGGAAGCCCAAAAGGCTCACAATAAATATTACCCTACCTAGTATGTAAGAGTAAAACGAAGTAGGGGGTTGAGTCACAGCTCAGTGATTATGTGGGGGAGATGCCCAGGAAGACAGAACTGCTGGCTGGATGGACAGACACAGGAAACCCGCAAGGATCCCGTAATGAACACCTCTGAACAGACCACCGTCAGGATCCGTCCAGATACTGAGTCACCGCCAGACAGTCTGGCTCTAATTCAGCAGAACCCCATCTAAGCACTTACAAAGCTCCTCACACCAAAAGGTGTGTTACCAGTTGCTACGAGTGCCCTTACCCTTGGGTGGGCTCCTCCACACCCACCCAGAGGTAGCATGCACGTGGGCAGGGATATCTATGACTGAGCTTCTCTTGCTAAGCCCTCCTGGGTGGAGCTACCACCTCTGCAACTGGCTGAGACCTGAGGGACCAGGGAGGTTCTGGAGAAACTCAGAATTTTTATTTTTAAGTTTCTTATGTATTTAGTACATGGTCTGCAGGGTCTCCTTACAGACTGTGCTCATAGTGATCCTCCTGTTTTTCAGCCTTCCAAGTGCTGGAATTACAGATGCACCACCACACCCAGTCTCAGTTGCTTTCTCGGCACGCCTGGGATCAAAGCCAGTCCCTGCGCTAAGCAGGTGCTTTAGTCTGCTGAGCTATCTGACCAGCCCTTAGGGAAATTCAGAACTTTTAATGTCTGCTTTTATTTCTCTTTGCAAAGAGCCACGAGCAAGAGGCAGCCACTCTTTAAAGACCTGATGCCCCAGGGAGTCTATTCTCAGGTACAGGACTTTTGCTGGAAGAGGAGGACGCGGATGGGTGGTGGTGACAGCTACCATCAGTGTGAGTGCTTTACACCACTGACCTGGGTGTAACCTTAAAAATAGTCACAATGGTAAATTATACGTTATGTGTAGTTCATAATTTTAAAAAAATGTCCAAGTTCACAAATTCCTGGATCTAACTTGCATACTTGCTTTGAGGCTTAGAGAAAGATCTCTGAAAACAGAGATCAAGATAAACACTGAGCTGGGCTAATGGACTACAAGCTAGAAGATAACTCTTAGCTAAGCACATTGGTGACTATTCACTGGGGGAGAATACCTCACAGCTGCATTCTGGTCCACTAACAAGTGAAACAAAAGCAAAACCAAAAAACCCACAGGACATCCTTTTGTTTAGATTATTCCAACTTCTGTTTCCTTGCACCTTCAGCTTCTTCCTTTGGACCCAAGGAAATGTGAGCTGATTTTCCGCAATTCAAACTGCCCTTCCTGAAACAGCGGCTCATTTCTTGGAAATGTTTGTAATTATTTCCACTGTCTTAAAGAACCAATATTTCCCCTGAAAGAGGTGAACATTCATATGCAGCAAAAACATGCCACTCCCGGCCTACAAAGAACTGCTTCTCCTTATAAATAGGTCTTCTTGTGATAGATTTACACTGGAGAGAAACTGATCTACAACAGAAGGTGACCTGAGAGCAAGTCTTCATGCCAACCATTTCTATACAAGATGTATTGTTAACAGGTGATAAAATTAGAATTAATCAAATGATGCTGCCGACCCCTCGACCTACACAAGCTCCCATGGCACAGTGGACACGCGAGGGGGCATGTTCATCAGATCCCTTAGCAAGAACACCGTTTCACAACACCCTTCCCAGACATGCATTCTGCTGTGCACACCCTGAGTCCTACAGGTCTTTGTTTACACACTGCCATGCTTACTCATCAGGAGCCTTAAGAGCAGAAAAGACCAGCGGGCTGCCTCCTGTCATCAGCACTCAACCGCCAAGCTCCTGCCTGCTGCAGAAACTGCTCCCGGCCCCCACCCAACGCTGTGTACTATCCTCAAAGACCCTGATGGAACCAGTCCAAGTCACAGACTGAACTTCTAAGTTAAACACCTCTGTGCATCTCTCACCACCTCCTGTCCAGCTCTCAGACAGTTAACCCCAAGCTGGGAAAGGCAGCTCCTTCTAAAGGATTATTTACTTTTCAGGCCCTGACCTGAGCTCCTATTTTGGGCGAATTGCAAATGCACTTGCAATCTAAGCTGCTGCATGCAAGTGGGGCCTCCTGCTGTCTTACCATGATGTTGGAGGCTACAACGGTAGGGTCATCACACACGGACTCAATGAAAAACACCTGGGGGAAAAGAGACAGAAACATTAGGAAACAACAAATGCCAGAAAAGGCCAGCTTCAAAGTCACAGTGATGTCATCATCCTGTACCCTTCATTTGTTCCCAAAGATGTGGTAGCCACCTACATGCTGGCAACCAAGTGCTTCAGCCTCCCTCTGCAGGGTCCTGCCTTAGAGAAGCCCTGCTTTTAAGCAGCAAAACGCAAGCAGCAGGAAGCAATGGACCAAGCAAAAATCAGGTCCCTGAGGTGTTCATCTCTCCTGAGCTTGCCGGGACAAGATTAGAAGTCCGGCTCACCTTGAAATCATTTTCTTTGGCAAAATGAAGGATCATGTGTCTCCTCTCTCTAGTGGTATTGGTGGCATCAAAAACCTAATAGGAAAAAGGGTCAGGAAGAAGAGCCAAAGTCTAGGTTTGACAATATTTATCAATATCACCAAGTCAGTCAAATCTGTCATTTCTAGGGAAAAGCCTAACATTGCACTTCTGGGAGAAACCATCCTAGGCCTCTCTAGTGGTTTGCTCATGGGTGCCTTTCCTCTCCCACCCCTACAGTGCTCAGGAACAGTAGGTGAGGGTGGGACTAGCACACAAATCATGTCATGGGATGCTGAAGATGAAAGGTGGAAGGGACTCTGGGTGCTGTGTGGGCAGCAACCCTTGCCCTGCCTACCTCAGAGGTGGGGCCTGGCTGCCCATCAAAGGGCTGGATGGCAGAGTGTGCCACAGCCCTGCTACCCTTGAAACTACTTTCCTGAGACACCAGGCTGCTTTAGTCACTTCTGTGGACCCACCAAGGCTCCTATGCCTGGGTGTCATCCCTAGAATGACTCTCTGCACTCTCAGGCCAGTGAGGACACACTCTGCTCAGGGACTGGGGCCTGAGCTCGCTACATTCCCGGACTTACTGCAATCTGTCCACCTTCCTTTGTCAGGTAACTCTTGACATCTCTCAAGGCAGCTAAGGCACACTGCCTGCAACACACAAAGAACAAAAAGCCACCCATTAGAGCAGACTCACCCACAAAGGAGCCCAGGCTACCCCCACAGTGATAAATTCTACTCCTAGGCCGCTTGGTGCCGACCAGGCCTCCCAAGGCCCAGAGGCTTCCAATCCAGAGGCCCAACACAGACAGCGTCCGATGCCCTTGGGGTGGCAGTGCCTGCACCTGACTGCACATTGGAATTCCTCCCCTGGGGAGCTGTGTAAAAGCTGATGTCAGAGCCCACCCACAGATCTTCACTGCATGGCCTGAGGTGAGGTCTGATATCAGCTTTACAAGCTGGCCAGCTCACTATAATGTGCAGTCAAGACTGAACACCATCACTGTAGATTTCACAGTGACTTTGTGCTTCATAGAAACCCTCTTCAGAGGCAAACGGATGCCTCCCACTAAGAAGGACTCTGCTTACTCTTGGAATGTGGTTGCTGTTGGTCTGTCTCACATCACCTCAGCTAGGTAATCTGGGAACGGATCACAGCAGCAAGTCCCAAGGGCTAAGAGACTTGTCCTGACACAGGACAGATCTGACGGCCACCAGCCAAGAGCTACACCACAGGATGGCTTTCCTTTTCTCTTACAGAACTTGGATAAACACGCTGCAAGCCTACACCCAGGGCCTACAAAGCAGACCACATCTTACTTTCGGACTTTCATGGCTTCTTCATTGTCAGGGCGGAAGAAGTTATAGGAGCTGTACTGCTTCACAGCCTCGCGGCGATACTCTCCCACATTGAACACTGGATGGGAAAGACAAGGACAGCCTGGGTGACCCAGCAGGAGGAAAACCCAACCCCAACTGGGAGGAGAAAGCCAACCAACCAGCACCAGTCTAAATAAGATGGGAGATCTGGTATGGAAACCAGCGTGGCCTCTCAGCGCAGGGCTATTGTCCCCTTCCCGGAGCAATGCTGGAAAGCTTTCCAGAGCAAATCACAGTGACTGCCGCCACCTGCTTTATCGGGACATTGGCTCAAAGGCCCAGCCTTACATAGCAGGGACCAGAGACAGACTAGGAAAGCACCGCAGAGAAGATCCAAGTCTAGCAAAAGGAGGGGCGATGATTTCCACGTTCAGTACTCAAATGAGTGGCTCTCACGCACTGCCACGGCTCATCAGCCTTCTGCTGGCCCAGAAGCCAGTGCCAAGGAACACAGTTCAGTTACTGGGGATGAGGGCTGGGGCTCAATGTCAGAGCAAAGCTCAGCATATGCAAGGCTCTGAGTTCAATCAATGCCAGAGTGAGACCGAGAAAGAAAAGAAGAAAGTCACTGGGCACTAGCTGGACACAGTGGGGAAACAAAAACAAAAACTGGCTCCATCCTCCAGACATTATTTCCCATTTAATTGGAAAGGCCAGGAAGAGATTTGCAACAATGCCATCAACAATGTGACAGCATGAAGCACCAGCAGACATCAGTAGACAAACACAGATGACCAAGTACAATGGGCACTTTAAGGAAAAAGATCTGCACAGACTTATCAAGTGACAAGTGGCCAAAGGGAACTTCAGGAAGAGAGTGAAACCTGGGTCAGGCAGGATTTAGGACAGCAGGGAAGGAGAAAATTCCAGGGAAAGTGTGGACACAGCACAGTGAAGACACAGCTAGAACAGGCAGCAGGATCAGACTCTACAACCCAGCACAGAAGCAGCCCAGAAGTGGCCCTGATTGTGGGTCCATGAACAGTGGCTAGACTGGTCAAGTTTTTTCAGTGTGAAAGACACAAGCAGATCACAGCACTCCATGTAACAGCCCTCACCTTGAGAGCCTGCTCACCTTTTGTCGGGACGCCAATCCAGTTGAGGTAGCGGGTCAACTTCTTAGAGACATAAGTTTTACCCCGGGCAGGGAGGCCCACCATGACAATCACTGTGGGGGAGTTGGTCAGCTTCGGCCCACAGGCTGAAACAGCAAGCAAGAGAGGGGTCATAGATTAGGTGACTGAGAGGTGATAAGCAGCCCTTTGCCCAATAATAAACTTTAAAGAATGGCACTAAAATTTGTATCTCATTTCCTATCCCAAAGACGCTGCCATCTTATAACCCAGTGGAACCAGGGCCAAAGCCCTGGGGCCACACCTGGTAGTGTGATCTCCTTCTCTGCCTGTATATGGCAGTCTCAACCAAGTTACCAGGCTGAAAGGAGGATCAAAACCCAGCTGGTGATAATGCCAAAGCAGAACAGCACTCCTCAGGGGCTGAAGGGACCCTAGGGGTCCAGGGGAAGTGAACAGTAGGGAGAGGTTGTCTCCACATGGCCATCATGTTTGTCTGTGCAAACTGAGGGGGCAGGTGGCAGGTGTCTCCTGACCCCAGAGTCAAGAGACAGAAAAGTCAACTGTGAACTGCTGAGCTTAGATAGGAGGTCTGGGCAGCTGTTTATTGGGTAGCCCAGGCTGACCTCAAACTCACAGTGATCTTCCCACCTCAGCCTCCCAAAGGCTGGGATTCTGGGATGGTGTGTATCTCACCATGCCTGACTAGAAACCAATTTCAAAAAGTAAGGAGTTTATCAAGTGACAGCTGGTCAGAGGCCAGGACACAGATGAATCCCACCATCCCTGCCCCCTTCCTCTCCACCAGCCTGCTGCCCATTTCTGATGAATGCCAGGTCCGCCTGCAGAAACCAGGTCTCAAAGCCCAGGCAGGGGCCAGCTCCAGGGAGACCTCTTGCCTGGGAGTTTCCTGGCTTTGCTTGCTGAGTGGCTGTCCCACATTCCTCAGCATCTCAATAAGACAAAAGCCCAGAGAGCAAGGGTTTCACAAAGCAGCCAAAGGACACCCTCTCTGGAAACTGAAAGCCCAAATTTCCTTGGCTGCCACCCTGTCCCTGCAACTCTCAAGGGATGCTTGCATCCTAGTGACAAGCTCTCTTGCAAGCCAGAGGCCGCCTGCCAGCCCCAGCTCTGCTGCCCTTACCCCTTCCTGGCATACACAGCCTGGCCTGCAGGAAAAGCTCTGCAAACCACAGCACCAAGGAGGTCAGGTGTCAGATTTGCACAGAGCCTCAGACACAAGGAGAGCCTAAACCAGAGGATTCACAGAGGGGAGGAAAATGCACCGCCATCCCAAGGACAGGACATGCCCTGGACCTCAGCAGGTCCTTCAGCTGCCAAGACTGAGCTCACCAACTCTGCCTCCCAGACTCAGAGCCAGGCAGCAGCATGTGGTCCACAGAGGCTCTACTTCCTTGTTAGTAGTCCAGACAGGGTGCAGAGAAAAGTGAGGCGAGGGGGGCATCGAGAGACTTTCTGGAGCCACAGAGAGCCCTGGCTGCACTCCCTCAGCTTTCAGAGGCTTGAGAGCAAACAGGTTCCTAGAAAACAAGAGCTGTCCACTGCCTGGAAAACACACCCACCCACACCCTGCTCAGGTGATAAGCATGAGGGGCTAGGAGCTGCAAAAACAAATGCCCCGGGGCCTTGTGTCCCAAGGCCAAAAAGAGATTTCAAAGACCCATCCTGGTGTGTCCCTGATCACCTGATAGCCATGACACATGAGAAAAGTGACAGCTAGAGCTGGGTATAGCAGGGCATGGTGACCCATGTGCCATCCTGGGCTACAAAGTGGGTTCAAAGCCATCCTGAACACCACAGTGAGGCCCTGTCTCAAAAAGATAAAAATAAATAAGAACTAGGTACAATGGTGTCCTCTCAGGACTCTGAAGGCTGAGGCAAGAGAGTTCACAACCATCTCTGGCAATTCAGCAAGTTCAATGCCAGCCAGAACTACACAGCAAGACCTTGTGTCAAAAAAACAAAAACAAAAGATCTGGCCAGATAGCTCAGGGGATTAAAGCTTCTTAGGCAGACCAGGGTACCTCCCCCATGGTGTGCTATCCCAGCCCCGCCCCCGTGTCCCCGTGAGACAGTGATGGAGACTGGATGTGGTGGCACACCCTGCATTCTGGGCTCTTGGGAGGCTGAAAACAGGAGGATCACTATGAATCTGACCTATGTAGTGAGACCCTGTAGACCTCGTATTAAATATATTAAAAAAGAGAGAAAGAAAGGTGGCAGGGAGGCTGATGTTTTCCTACTGTTCAGGGAAACAATGCTGCTCCTGCACTTCCCTGGGCCACTGGTCCCTCCTCTCTCATCAGGTAACCCCATGGAGCCAGTACTCCTGTGAGGACCCAGCATGCATGGAGACAAACACATACAGCTGTGTGCACACATGGACTACTTCAGCTGGAACCACACCAAGAAAGCAGGGGAAAAGCTGACTGATTTATCAAATCAGGGTTTATGTCTATCCACTAATCACAGGAGCAAATCTCCGCTGGCTGTAAGCACTTTGGAAGGGAAAAAGCCAAACAAGACCACAGACACAGCAGAGTTAAAGCCTTAAGGCAAAAGTTCAGGTCAAATTCCAAACCCAAATAAACCATCACTCCCAAAGCCCTTCTGCCCATTCTGCAGTTGGGGTGGAGGGACTGCCAAAGGCCTGGTGGCTTTCTCTACACAGATGTCGGCCTTCTGGGCCAGCAGAGAAGGAACCACAATTCTTTTAGACTAAGTTGCTACCATTCTGTTTAGGAATTTTTTGGGGGTCCCTAGAGACTGAACCCAGGCCCTCCTGTGAGCTAAGAAGCAAGGGCTTGGCCACTGAGCTGTACCCCTAATCCAGTGGTGCTGAATTTATGGCACTTGTGTCAAAGGGGCCTGCTTGTATCATTACAGGCTCTAAAGGGGTTCATCATCTCTGCCCTAGGCCCTCTTTTTTTGTATTCAGTATAGGATCTAAAGGGTCTCACTATGTTGATTATAGTGATCCACCTGTTTTCAGCCTCCCAGGAGCTGGGATAACAGGTATGTGCCACCACGCCCAGTCTCACAGACTCAGTGCACCCCAGGGACAGGGCCAGCATGGCTTCTGGTGCCAGGGATCAAACCCCAGCCCCTGTACTCTGCCTAAGCATGCGCTTTAGTCTGCTGAGCTATCTGGCTGGCCCTTTTCCACCTTTTCTTAAACTCAGCACAGCCCAAATCTTCCATGAACCTTTAATCTCTTATCCCACTTGAATTGCCCAAATCTTCAGTTCCTTTTTCTCTACAGAACTTTTTACCACCCAAAAGGAAATGGCCATTCCCACTCTTGTTTGTCTCTTGCAGGCCTTTCAGGATCCCACTTTTTCTTCTCCCCTAACACAAGGATTAGGCACAAGAAGTTGAATTCAACACAGAATGCCAGCCTTACAAAAGGATGCTAAAGCAGCCTAAACTTTCTTTTCTTCATTTTTTATAAATTTTTTTTATTTGTGTGTGTGTGTGTGTGTGTGTGTGTGTGTGTGTGTGTGGCCAGCTCAGCCCACCAGGGGGTGGGACTGGCTGGCATGTGGTGCTGGGGGATTGAACCGCGGTTCCTGTGCTTTGCTAAGCTTGTTCTAAGTAGGTGCTTTAGACCACTGAGCCATCTCACCAGCCCATATACTTTCTACAAGTAGGTTGAGTTATGCCTCAACTGCAAGCTCAAGGGAAAGAAATGGAAGAGGCCGTTTATGACAGAACTGTGAATCAAGAGGGGATCCATCTCCATAGCTGCCTAAGGAAACACAGATTGTGCCTGTCCACAGGGAACATCTCGACCCACTCTCTAGAGCAAAGACCTGCTTTAGTCCTACAGATACACAACTGCCCTAAGCAAGTCTCCCTGGATACAGACTTAAGCCACTAGGCCCTGGGGAGACCAGAATGTGACACACATCTGGAGGGGAAAATGCAGGCCAAATTGCTGGACACAAACCCCTCTCCTGGTATCATCAGATCAGCCTGCAGCACTCTCAAAGTATGCTGGGTTAGCAGGGGGTTTGCCTGTCTCAGCAGAGTGGGCTTCGGGACCAGGGTGCAGGGTGGAGGACGCAGCTAGCAGACGCCTCTTCCCAAAGCTCTCTGCACTATCTGAGGTTACAGCACCACACTTGCATGCACATTTAACTGCTATCTACTCTTACACCTAATGAAAGGCTCCACATCACCTCAGCCAGCAGCACTGGGGGATGGGGTATTTTGGTGACTCAGTGACAGCCTTGGGAGCTGATACAATAACACAGTATGGGGTATGGAGAAGGGGAATCCAATAAACAAAGAGTTCAGAGCTTGGTCTCACCACTTCCCAGAACCAGTTAATCTTACCATGTCCTGTCTGCTGCTCAGTGGAGATGCTGTGTAGACACTCCCGTGGGAAAAATCTGTAGCATAAGTCACTAGAAATGCTTACTGCAGAGCCCTCGCCCAGCATGACCTCTCACAACTATCATCCTTCAGGAGGGGCAAGAAACTAAGCACCCCCCAAATGGAGAGTGGTCACATAGCAAAACCAGCAGGTGGCAGGCAGGGGTTCAGTTTAGGCCCTTTCCATTTGTAATCCTTCCAGCATTCTTCCCTAAAAGAGTAGCTCTCTTAAGTGGCTAACTCTCTAGAGCCTTTTAGAAAATAAGGTAACTGGGACAATTCTAATATCGATTTTTTTTTAATATATTTGGTATAGGGCCTCACTACACAGCTCAGACTTGTAGTGCCCCTCCTGTCTTCAGTCTCCTCAACACTGGGAATACAGGTGTGTACCACCACACCCAGATTCTATTATGGTTTTTATGTCATGAATCTTACTCAAAAAATGCTAATGAAGAGCCAGCCAGATAGCTCAGCAGATTAAAGCTGCCTGCTTAGGCAGCTGCAGGGGCTGGGGTTTGATCCCCAGACCTACAGTGCTGGCCCCGCCCCCAGGGCAGGCTGCTGAGAGACCACAATTGAGACTGGGTGTGGTGGCCCACGCCTGTAATCCCAGTTCTTGGGAGGCTGAACACAGGAGGATCACTGAGTCTGATCTATGTGGTGAGACCCTGCAGACCCTGTACTAAATACATTTTTTTAAAAAAATGATCCTAATGAGCTCAGGCTAAGAATCTGTTCTATAAACTGTAAGGCACCATGTAAGGACAAGGCAAGGATTTCTCCACAATACCCATCCATCTGCCTTAAGTTAGAATGGCATGAGTCAGTATAAGCTCCTTTAAGGAAAAAAAAAATCTTATCAGTTTGAACACCATATCCTCCTTTCTTGAGGCTCAAACCCCTGCTGTGCCTATTCAAAATCCCAAACAAAGATTAGTTGGCAGTTTACCTCATTCTCCCATAAAGAAAAAAAATAAAAATTGAGGCCATATAAAACAACTCTACATGGACCAATATTAATGAACCCTTTACTGAGGGTGGCAACCTTTTATCTTATGTCTTAAGTCCCTAGCTTTGTCTAAGGACCCACCACACTGCATAGGACCCTTCACAGCCCTACTAAGTAGACAAAGGCATAGCTTACTTTACAGACAAGGGAAACCAAGGTTCTGAGTGAATAACTTGCCCAGGTAAATAGGGAGGTTCTTGATTTTCAGTGATGATAAATGGTATAGCCAGCCCTTGCTAGCCCAGAAGTTACTTCTTTGCCATTAAGTTGATTCACAAACTCAGAAAGTAAGTCTCCCTGACTTACTGTGTGCATCTGATGGATGATGTGGCCCCATAAGAAACATTTACCATAATGCTGGAGCACAGGGTACCGAACCCCCATGCTGCAGAGGTGGCAGTGCCATCAACTTGGGGTTCATCCACCTGGAGTTTTCTGTGGATGCCTCACTGTTCTCTGCATCTGAACAGGAACACTCTCTACTCCTTTAATGATTGACCTCAGAGGCATCTGCTGCCCACCCTCAATGAGGAGACCAATGATAGATATGGTAACAGATTTAGAAGAACCATCCAATGCTATTAGAGAAAAGCTTCCTCTTCTCCATTCTAGTAACAGACAACTGTAAATTGGAAAAGATACTACTGCCCGAAACTTTACAAAGGGTAATAAATGCCCAGACTGCAGATCATTTTATTGGGCACACAGCCAAGACTACACCCCAGAGCCACACACAGGATTTCATGAGCTGGTGCGACAAGCATCTTAATCCATCTGCTTAGCCACGTTTGCACCTCCCCCTCAAGCCATCTATCTTCTCGGAAAATCTCTCATCTGCATCAAATCTGTCATCTGCACTTGCGTGAGAGACGTGCAGGCTGGTAGAATCTAATGGATGGGCTTCTGAAACTAGGAGAATGGTCCATCCCTGCATGCTGGTGTCTCTCAGAATCACCACTGAACTAATACCAACCAAGCTTGGTGCCCTCACTGAAACTCAAGTGTTTAGCTCGGATCTCAACCTGGGGGGCTGCCTAAAGGAGCCTAGGTACACATATACACAAGGTCATGGGCTTACATGTATACATAAACCCAGGATATACACCATATAACCAACTGTAGTTTTCGAATGCAATACAGATAGTATGTTTTATTCAAAACTCCAAAAGGTGCAAGGCTTATTTCTACATCTGGTCTGGTCACATCTCCCTGGAGCAACTGTACACAAAGACAGCCAAACCACCTGCAGCGCTGGTTTAGAAAGTACATCTGAAAAGTCTGGGGCACAAGAAGGCCTGCCAAGCCAACAGTTCTGGGCTACCTTGCCAAGACAGGAAAATAGGACTTCTAAGGGCTTCCCTCAAACTCCTCAGGTCCTGCAGAGAGACCTGGAACTTTACTGGTGCAGCCTGTGCCATGGGAGGTGGGAGACAGGCAGGTCTAGGCAGGGATAAAAGTGACCTCAGACCCGGCAAAGCTCCACGAAAGCTGTCACATCCTGCGGGGACCTTCCTGTGAAAGGTGGCAGCAGAGAAGCCCAGCCAGCAGCCTGGCGCTCAGGTATCCTTGGATGACCAGAAGCCAAATCCACGGCTTCCACCTGGATTCCATGGCTACCTGTCAGGCTGATTTGACCTGGGCCAGACGCCACCTAACAGACATCTGAACGTTACCTGAAAAGCCAACAGAACCAATGTCGTCTCAGAGCCATTCCAACCGCCTTTCTTAAGAGGGCTTACTGCCACTAAGGATTGATCCAACGGTACCCTCCCCAGATCTTTTACTGAGGGAGACAGGCAGGGCAGGATGCAACTGTCAGCAAATTCCGAGCTCGGAAAAGTGTGCGTGCATGCGTGTGAAACACTGCCAACAGCACAGTCACCAATCCACACGCTCTCGCAAAACCAGGAGCTTAGGCTCGGTTCTCGATGACTCCCCTGTCGCCCCCAGCACGGACGCCCCTACCGTGGCCGGAATGCGAGGGGAAGACGAAAATACACTGAGGGAGGTGGCAAATGGGAAAGGACAGAGGATAGGGAGAGAGGACAAAAACATATACGGAGATAAAGAGAAGAAACAGACAAAATACAGAGACGAGAAAATCGTGTACAGTGATAGAAACAGATCAGTAGGAAGCAAAGCGGGGAGAGGCAGCTCAGAGAGGTGAGGCAGGAGACGCAGACCCGGAGGAGACTCGGCGCCGAGAGGGGCAAGGGCGCGGAGGCGCGCGGCCGGCAGCTCCAGCTCCAGCTCCCGCGGGTACACGCTTCGCAGCAGCGGTCGAAGCCCAGGCCCGGCGCGCACGCCGTTTCCGGGGCCACAGCGCCCCCGCGGTCCCGCCCGGGAGGCGCAGCCCGCCGCCGCCGCCCGGGCCCCGCCGGCCCCGCGCAGGAGCGCGCAATCCGCAGAAGGGTACTGGCACAAAGCGGCCACACTCAAGAGCCCGACCCTACCCAAACACCCTGCAGCCTGGCCCCGCACAGCTGCACTCACATCTGGGCAACGAGGGCCGGTGGTCGATGGGCACCCGTATCTTCTGCATCCGGCTCTGGGTCAGCTCCAAGGGCATCTTCGCAACTGCACTCGGTGGCCCGCCACCCCAAGAGGGGATTCTGAAGACGTGGGGAAAAGAGCGGCCGCCCACCCCCGGAACAAAGGAGGGGAGGGTGCGTGCGGCGAAGGCGCGCTGCCGGGCTCCCCACGCTGTTGGGGAAACGTGCTTTGTGCTAGGTCCGGGACGCGCGCACTCGCCGGGGCTCGGAAGGCGCTGCCGAGGGGCGCGGGGCTGCGGCCGTGCGCACGGCCGGCTCGGCAGCTCCGGGAAGTTCAGAGATGCTCGGGCGTAGTGACAACCGCACTCCCACCGCGGAGCACTGCACTCTCCTACTCTCCAGCTATACAGAGATGCCACACGCACGGCTCGGCCTTTTTAAGTGTCGGAGCTTGGCAGCGCCGCGCGTCAGCCTCAGGGCGGGCCGCATTCCTGGCGTCCCAGCCCCCTTTCACGTGGGGAGGAGGGTGGGCGAGTCAGGAGATGGGCTGTTGGCGCCCTCTGCGGACCGGCGACAGCACAGCACGTCCTGCTGTAGTAGCCCAGTTCCCATTTCCGAGATCCCCCAGTCCCGGCTGGATTTTCACCCCTGTTACTCTTTCATCCATTTATCCCCTGGCACAACTACGCAGGGTAAGCCCTCACCTGAATAGTGCTGAAAGGATCTAGCCACCTAGCTCTGTCCAGCACGGTCCGCAGCCCATCCCCTACAGTGCTGGTTAAAATGCATCCCTTTGAGTCAGCCTTCCTAGTAGGGGCGACTCAATATCCTGAACATCAGTGACGTTTAGGGAGTGGGTTATATATAATGCAGGTGAAGACCCCAGAGCCGCTCCCCGACAACCTTGGAGGCGCCACCTACCGCTACCTCCGCTAACACAGGGTGGCCTTTCCTATACCTTCATGTCCCTTGGGAATCTTGGTTTGTGCAGTGCCCTGCGCCTCTCACCGGGCCCCCATGACCAGAGCGGAGCAGGAATAGGGGGCGGGAAAGCCCCAGAGGCTGGACCGAAATAGAACTAACTTTGCGGGCGAGGTGCAGCTGGCATCTTGGGTTTCTAAGTTTCCAATAAACTATCTCTCCGAGCAGTCCACAAAACATTTCTTTACCTGACGATAAGCCCGGGACTATTTGGGGGAGGGACCTTGATCATGCAAACTTCTAAAATTTATTTTATTTTTTCCTCCACAGTACAAATTACGTCTCCACATGGGGGGCGGGGGGTGTGTTCGTCCCTTCCCGTCTTTCCAGGTCCTCATAGTTGTTATTAGCTAGCGACACACGACAGTCACATTATGTGCCGTGCAGTAGGAATCTGGGGCATTTTTGACTGGGACCGCCGCCTGCGCAGAGCAACGACGTGAATGTGACTTTAGCGAGCAAAGGCTCAGCGCAGAAGCGCTGCGCTGCGGGGCTGAGGCGCTCCCTGCGCGCTGAGGCTGGGCTGTGATTGGTGGGAAGAAGGCGGCGCTCGCTGAACCCCACAGAGAGATGGAAAAGTCTGCGCAGAGGCTGCCACACGTCGCTCACGTCCTGCATGCTCTGCTGGGAGGGCTCCCGCTCCTTGGCGGCAGGCGCCGCTGCTCCAGCCTGGCTCGCCCGCCCCACCCAGGCCACGCCCTCTCCAGCAGTTTGGCGAGCCTAGCCCCCTCCCCACACCAACGCCTAGAGACGCCCACCTGGACAGTGACACCACCCCCAGCTCCTAGTTCCGACCACACTAGGGCGCGCCCCCTCCCTCCCGCGCCTCTCCGCCCTCCCTGGAGCCCCAGCTCCCCAGACAGCTTTGCTGACAGTCAGGTTTCAGCGCTCGCTTGGGCAGCTGTTCAGAAATCCGATGCACTGTTCTTGGACTTGTTTTTCTGCACTGGGAGCAAATGCCAGAGGTGACACCCTAGAATGCCCAAGGGAGAGTCTGTGGAATGAGAATGAGTTGACTGAAGAACACAACAGCCAGCAAGTGCTCGTGCCACTAGGAAAAGTTCCCAAACTGGGGTTCGCGAGGGTCGAGATTGCAGACAGGGAGGGAGAACCCCCAGCAACCACAGTGCACCCGAGTGCCTGCTATTTACCCACTTGAAATTTTGCATAAACCTGCGGGCCAGCCCAAGGGACCAGGTGGCTTTCTATGATGTCCAAGCCTCAGAGGTAGAGTCTTCACTCTAAGGTGAAGAGCTTGTCCTAGGTAACCCTCTGACCAGGGTCAGCTGTAAGGGCAGGAAAGAGAGGACCTCCCCAGCTGGGCAGTCACAGATCAGGCACTCTCTCTGCCCAGGGTCAATGAGATTAACACTGTGGGCGTCCAGAACAAAGACTGATTTCTTCCCCAGTCCCGTGCCCTGGATATGTAGTTGACAAAGGGAAGTCCATTTAACTCCCCTGCTGCTTGGAATAGCTTAACTGCAAACCAGTAATGCTGAGGAACAAGAACAAATTCACACTTGTTTTGCTGGGGGGTTTTGTTTGGTTGGTTAGTTTCTTTTTTTAATGACCAACTATAGACTCTTGTAGCCCCAGGTAAATTACAGTCCCTGTGGGAGGTAAAATAACTCAACTGCATCTACCCGTAGATTCTAAGTGTTTACTGGCTCAGAGTTCCTCAGTATAGACGTCCTCCTCTTTCCCCCATCTTTGCCTCAGAAGCGGCCCTCCAGAACTTCACCAAATCCCCAAGCTAGACATTATGAACATAGTGCTTCAGAAGGCTGTTGAGGTGTGAACATTCTTTTAGCATATCATATCTTTATGGCCGTAATGTCTCCAATCAGTTGGGCAGACTGACAATTTTTCTTGCATTCTGAGTCATGAGCCTAGACCCTGCTAGAATTAGATGGACCACCACCAATCTTAGGTAAAGGAATAAACAGAGGTCTAGAGATTTAGAGAGGTCAAAGAATCAGGCTCAAGACCAAGGAAGAAAGCCAATTAGGTGAACAGGGTATTTTTTGTTTGAGGGTTTTCTTTTTTGGGGGGAGGGGGTTGCTCTGTTTGACACAAACAACAGATAGCTGTCTCCTCTCCAGTGCTTCTTGAGAAACTCATCATAACCCAGGGAGCTGAGGGGACTCCTAATTAAGGGAAGAGCAAACTGTGATTCAGAAAATCTCACCCAGAACAATTATGCTATTTGGAAGGAAAGCACAAAGAAAGGCCTTCATTATGAAGAGAAGTCATTAGCTGGGTGGTTACTTAAAACGATAGTCTAACATTGGAGAAGGAACCGACAAGCACCCGATGTGCTGGTGCAGGTGGACTCATTGTCTAGGTCCAGCATCAGCAAGAAGGCAAAGCAGTGCTTTTTCTCCATGACCTTTGTGCCCTGTTTTGGCTGGCCAGTGTCATCTAATCCTGATGGTGTTTCCAGACACGGCTGTAATGACAGCAATAAGCAGCCCCATTACCATGGTCCTTTGCCAACTAGTTAGATTTAAACCATGCTCATCCCCAGGGAGAGAATGAAGTGGGTAACAAGCTGTGGCAGGCTGTGAGCAGTCCGAGTTGCTCATTAGACACAAAGTGTCATTCTTGGCTCCTTTGAAAGTTCTCAGGTATGAGAAAGTGAAGGGAGACACCCAATAAATAGCAGAACCTAAATCTTTCTTTCTTTCTTTCTTTCTTTCTTTCTTTCTTTCTTTCTTTCTTTCTTTCTTTTTTCTTTCTTTGTGTATTTAGTACAGGGTCTACAGGGTCTTACTACACACATTGGACTTGTAGTGATCCTCCTGTTTTCAGCCTCCCAAGCACTGGAATTACAGGAGCATACCACCACGCCCAGTCTCAATTGCTGTCTCAGTGCGCCCCGAGGGTGGGGCCAACATGGCACGCCTGGGATCAAACCTAAATCTTTTATGATCACCTCTCCAAAACCAGACAAGGGTGACTTTTTTAAAAAATAAAATCTTTGAGCGTCTGAAAGCAGGCACAGGGGCCAAGGGTTCAACTCCGGGGCCTGCTGTGCCAGCCCAGCCCTGGGGCATGCTGAGATAGCAATTGAGACTGGGTATGGTGGCATGTGCCTGTAATCCCAGCTATTGGAAGGCTGTAAACAGGTGGATCACTACAAATCCGATCTAATACTGAGACCCTGAACACCCTGTACTCCCTTCCCAAAAATAAAATAAAATAAAATAATAATTAAAATCTTTAGGGGCCAGGGAGATAGCTCAGTAGAATAAGTGCTTCCTTGGCAAGCACAAGAGCCTGAGTTCAATCCCTGGTTCCACCAAGAAAAATAAAATAAAATAAAATCTTTGTAGTCTGATGATGTGGTGATGTATGTCTGTAATCTCAGGCAACTCAGAAGGTTGAGGGAAAAGGGTCATGAGTTCCAGTCCAGCCTGGGCAATTTAGTGAGACTGTCTCAAAAAACAGAAAGAGGAGAGAGACAAAGACAGACAGACAGACAGACAGACAGACAGACAGAGAGCAAGCAATTAAAATATTTGTAACCCACGTAATGAGAATCTATACTTAAATGGGGTTGGTTTTTTTGAGGTGGGGATTTAGTACAGGGTCTATAAAATCTAAGAGGGTCTCACTATACAGGTCAGACTTGTGATCCTTCCTGTTTTTCAGCCTCCCAAGTGCTGAGATTACAGGCACACATCAACACACCCAGTCTCAATTGCCATCTCAGTGCAACCTTGAGGTGGGGCCAGCACAGCATACCAGGGATGAACCCTGGGCTCCTGCATCTGCCAAAGCAGGCGTTTTAATCCACTGAGCTGTCTGGCCAGCTCTTAAATTGTCTACACAATATATCATAGGAGATTGGGACTCAAATCAGAATGTACTTACTTTTATAGCAGCTTTTATCAAATATAGAGGTACTCTCAATGCTGTTTTGCAGGTCAATGACCAAGCTGTGGGACATGCAGGCAATGGAATATGATTATGGGGTGCTGCAGTGGCGCAGGCAGTTAGTGCATGGTGGTTAAAATATGATTCTGCACTAAGAATTGAGCTAAGACAAAGGTATATAGGATCCTTAGATGCATGTTACTGAATGGAAGAGGCTAATCTGAAAAGGTTACATACTAGGGCCAGCGTTCTAGGTCAGCATACTAAGCACTTGCTTAGGTAAGTGCAGAGGCCAGGATTTGATCCCTGGCACTGCATGCCATGTGGCCCCACCCCTGGGCACGTTGAGCCAACCTTGGAGTCCAGGCATGGTAACACACACCTGTAATCCCAGCACTAGGGAGGCACAAATGGGGAGGATCATTACATCTGTGCTGCATAGTGAGAACCTTCACAAAAAAAAAAAAAAAAAAAAGGACCAATCAAATAGCTCAGCAGACTGAAGTGCCTGCTTAGACAGGCCCAGTGACTGGAGATCAAGCCCTGGGGCACGCTGAGAGGGTGATTGAGACTAGGTGTGGTGATGCATGCCTGTAATTC